ATTCAAATCTTAAACCTAGAGATGTTACAATATAGATTTTATTGTGGAATAGACTGGTTAATACAGTGGAATAGACACGGGTACTGCTTGTTTTTATGCCTGATTTCTTCCTTTTGTTAAGGTAAGGAACATTTTAACGTAATATTTAGCTAGTAATTAAAACATCAAAAAAAAAATGGCAGCTGAATTTTTCATTCACTATCAAGCAATCCTGATATTTGATGAAGAACTTGACTTAAATCTTTTTTATTTGTATTTTTTTAGAGACGAGGTTTTTGCTGTGTTGCCCAGGCTGGCCTCAGACTCCTGTGCTCAGGCTATCCCTCCCACCTCAGCCTCCTGAGTAGCTGGAACCACAGGCACGCACCACAGAGCCTGGCCCCTCAAATCTTGAATGCTGGGTGCCAATGGATAATAAATCTTCTATATTAATGAGCAGATACCCCAAGCCCTAAGCCTTCATTCACATTAAATGTTCCTACTAATCCACATAGATAAATCCTAAAAATCTATCACCAGGTTACCAAAACATTTCAATTATGAAAAATCACTCAAAATCTACACATCTTTTTGCTGAACACTATTAACTCCTCAAGTTAATCAGGCAATATATTCTTTCCTAATAAATCTTTTGGCCAAAACTTATTTTCAGCAAAATGTTAGATCTTAGGATTTGTTATCTGAGTAAAGGTATTCTGAATCATTTGGACAGTAATACAAATTACAATAAAATCACCATTTTTCAATGCCATTTTCAAGGTAGATAAAGCAGAGGTGAACCTGTAATTTGGCCCAAATACTTGGGCAGCTTAAAAGCTTTAAAAATTCTCAGTTCTAGTCCACCATAAAAAGTAGGAAGAGGACTGGTCGCAGTGGCTCATGCCTGTAATCCCAGCACTTTGGGAGTTTGAGGCAGGCAGATCACCTGAGGTCAGGAGTTTGAGACCAGCCTAACGAACATGGAGAAACCCCATCTCTACTAAAAATAAAAAATTGGGGGCCGGGCGCGGTGGCTCAAGCCTGTAATCCCAGCACTTTGGGAGGCTGAGGCGGGAGAATTCTTGAACCTGGGAGTTGGAGGTTGCAGTGAGCCAAGATCACACCATTGCATGCCAGCGTGGACAACAAGAGTGAAACTCTGTCTCAAAAAAAAAATTAAAAAAGAGGTCAGTTATGTATTAACTTAAAACTTCATCTTTAGGCGTGTTTACATTTTCTTTATATTCTTCAAATAAAACAAGTATACCAATACTACATATGAACTCATATAGTCAATATATTGATATATTTGATATTTAATAATTATTTTTAAATGCTTTGTGATAAAATGAAAAGGATGTGAGAGTTGAGAGCAGAAGGGTCTGATTCTGCCTACCCAGCTGTGTTACTTTGGACAAGTACTATAAAATGAGGGAAATAAATTGTTAGCCAATATGTAAGATTTCTTTCAGCTATAATAGTCTGTGATTCTAATACAGAATGCTGTAAACTTTGCCAAACTTGTAGAACTCTTTTGAGTTCAAGTATTTCTCATCTCCTTCCTTCCTCTCCCCACCCAATTCAAAATGAAGCAATTTGTTTAATCTCTCTTGTTCCTCATTGTTGCTGGATGTGAACAATCTAGTAATTTTTTTTTCTTGTACCTGTTCCAATCTTCAATGTCAAGATTGCTTGGTAAGTATTAATATATATTGTGTAGAGTTATTCACTGCGGTCCACAAATGTAGCTGTTTGGCTGTTACCTGTAATATTTATCTCTGTATTTTTAAATAACATGATTATTATGCCATTTTAAAGATATTTCAGTTTTAGATTTGTATCAGTTGGCCTGTTTTGGGATTTGAAGGTTAGGCTGTAGTTCCTCTGCCTCTTCTCTAAATGCGTACCTTCCACTCTCATTTCCACAATAGAGTGCAGTTACATCACACTTTATGGTTAGTTAGCATTTAATATTTATACTATTTTGACTCTGTAAATACTATTCACAACTGGAATGTGTGGTATCTGTAACTATATTTCCTTTTTTGGTCCAATTTTTGGCTTGAGTTTTTTGAAATTAATAATATTGCCTTATTGTTTTATTTGCTGAATGGTGTATATAGCATAGGACTGCTGTATAGTAGTATTTTAAGACTTCCCAGAATGGAATGACATGAATTTACACCTAGGCTATCTAGAAGTGTAAGTCTCAGTAGGTTAAACACATCATATAATCCATCACGTTTTTCTTTAAAGATATTCCTTCTGGAGCTCTCTGTACTTTGCTAATGTGGATTGGTTGCTCTTCACCTCTCTTATGTTGGAACCCCCATTTCCTGAATTCTCTTTCTCTTTTGGTGGCTTACCACTTCCGACAGCTTCCTGTGAAAGACTAGCATGCACAGTAGGTTATTTTGATTCATTGGTGTAACCCAGCATGCCTGAGTTCTGCCCAAATACTTGATTGAAACTTTATGTGAATAATAATGTATACAGGCTAGAAGTCACTGTTCTGAATTATACAGCATTGCACCAGTGCCTTCCAACTTCCATTAAATTTGTTGAGAATTCATTGGTCATTCCGAATCTTGATGTTTAATTTGTGTACTGTTTATCTTTGGAAGCTGTCAGAATCTAACCTCTCTCCCCAGTGTTCTGAAAAGTTTCTCATGATGTGTCAGGATACGGATTTTCAAATCTGTTGAGTTAAGGTAGACTGAAAGAGTCTGAAAGAGTAGAGAAATTAATGTCATTCAGTTCTGGGAAGTTTTAAAATACTGCTTGAAAAGTTCCTTCCCTCTATTTTTTCTAGTGTTTATTCTAGAACTCTTTTTATTCAGATACTGATATCTAGGCCTGATTCTTTCTTCTTCTTGTTTCTATTTTCCATCTTTTCTACTTTCCTTTTTATTTTCTCAATTTTCTCTTCTAGTTTTTCCAATGATTTTTTTAAACTTGAAATATATTTTTAATATTCCAAAGATCTTATTATTTTTTATTCTCTGAATATTCCTTCTTTAAAATAACACTAAAATTTTATGTCTGTAGGGCAGTGGCTCCTGCTTGTTATCCTGGTGACCCTGCATGCATCCTGATAGGCCATGCAGGTGGAGCCTGAACCTCAGGCTGAACTAAGTCTTAGTGGAACACCCTGCGGCCCTCACAGGAACATAGCCAGACAGTTTTGTGAGGAGCCTTTGCAGGATCATTTTCTCATTTGCCTTTCTTTCATTTGGGAGGCTCCCTGTCTTGCAGGAGGATGTCTTCAGGCAGTTTTCTCATCTCCCTCCCTGTTTCCTTTGAGACTTGGGACTTTCTACTCCCGGCTCCTCCCCGCCACCCCGGGGCACAGCTGCAGGCTATAAAATTGCATAGCTGCGCATGGCATTAGCTCTACAGCAACAGGGTGTCCCTCACTCCTGTTGTGTTGTTATCTGGTCCCTTTTGTGCTGATGTCCTCACACAAGATCCCTGCATAATAACCTTGGAGATTTGGCACTTTTGACTATATTTTTCATTCTCTATGTAAGTAATAAGCTGTCTGAATCTAAAAAGAACTCTTTTTTTTTTTTTTTTTTTTTCTGGCTTAATCTGTCAGGACATGCTTGGCCCTTGCCTTGGCCTTGTGCTTGATGGTTTCATGGATATAATATTTACTTCTCTGAGGATGTTAATTTTAGTGGTTGTTTTCAAGTTTTCGTCTGCTTCTTGCCTGCTGTTTCTTTAAAGTCATTTTTTTCTTGTTTTGTTCTCTCTGATGTTTTCTCAAATTTCCTTAAATCTTTGATGATTTGCTGCTTTTTATTTTATTTTTTATTGAGACAGGGTTTCACTGTCACTGTCACTTTTGTCTGTAGGAATGTTATTCTGCTCCTATTCTCATTTTTATTTTTAACAACATTGCCTGGGATTTGACCTTAGTATTTTTGTTTCTCATTTTTATGTGAAGCTTGTTTTCCTGAACCTTTAGAAGGAACTTGGCTCAGGTTAGCTATTCTACCTTTATGCTCCTTTGTCTGTTTTTGTTCTCTAATGTTCAAAAATATGGTGGCTTGCTTTCTGAGGTTTATCAGCTCTGTTTTCCTCCCCCACTTTTACCTGGGCTTCTTTCCATCCTGCTGATTTTCTCTATTCCACCCGTGCTGGAGGGAAGTGGTTGATTCATGGCTCACTGCAGCCCTGACCTTTACTGCTCAGGTGATCCACCCACCTCCTCCTTAAGTAGCTGGGACTACAGGCATGTACCACCATGCCTGGCTAACTTTTGCTTGTTTGTTTGTTTTGTAGAGATGGAGTTTCGCTATGTTGCCCAGGCTGATCTGAAACTCCTGCCCTCTAGCAATCCATTTGCCTTAGCCTCCCCAGGTGTTGGGAATATAGGCATGAGCCACTGCACCTGGCCATGGGCTTCCTTTATCTATAAAAGTAAGACACTAAAAAGCTGATTGGTCGTTCTGTGTTTGTGGATGAAGCTCCTTAATTGGAGAAATTCACTTTTCTCCCTGGCTGGCTGAAGATACCCACAGATCACTGTCTAGACTTTTACGTAGT